ATGATTTGCCTTTTTAATTTACCTTTAGAATACAAAACGAAACATGAGTATAGGTAAAAAGTAGTTAACTTCGTCTTTGCTAGATCTGAATTGTTATATGGTGTAACTGTTTTTTAATGACATCGATACAAATGGTACGGAATTTAAAAACCGATTTGTGCTTCTCACAATTAAATGACCTTGTAAGATATATTATCTTTGCATAGGATTTAATTACCGAGGAAATCAAGGGTTTTTGACTTGGCGAAATGATGAAAGACTAGTGTAGTAATTACGGTCTCCGTGATAATTTCTGGCCTGCGGTTCGAAGAAAGTTTCATGGGGACGTAGGCAAGTTTTCGGGTTCACAAATCAAAACAATGTTCTTAAAAGGTCTTGAAGTTTTCGATGAGAACCGATTTTTATCGGAAAGTATACGGAAAGGAAAATTCAAAAATCAGTAAATTTATATTTTTTTCCGTCAAAACAAAAATATTCTACATCTGAAAATTTGAAATGAATGTCAATCACTACTGAATTGGTTATTTATGCAGAAATAGAAAAAAAGCATCAATCAAATCTGATTGTTCGGTTGGGTGCTTGGTATTGTTTCAATTGGCATTGTTTCCAGGTCTGTGTTTCAGCAGGTAGGAACTGCACAGTTGAACAGTAAGACTAGGCATTTTGTTATCTCTCCAATACATCAGAAAATCAGCTTAAGGAAAAAAAGTTTATCAGATGAATTATTAGAATATTTTTTGAATGCAGTTGTGCAGCGTGGCGTGGATTGGCTTAAACACGTTGGATTCCCTCTTAACGACTTTCTGGTGTTAATGAACAAAATGAACATTTAGTAAGATACAAAATGAACATTTAGTAAGATAGAACATGTTTGACTTTTTCTCTGGATTCTTAAACATTTTTTTTTTATCTACAAATGATTTAAGTTGAAAAGTGTTTTTTTTTTGTCGCGTACCTTGTAATCATTCGATCTTCGCACGGAGAGGTTTCCTTTACGAAAGCATCGTCCGAAATCCTTGATGCATTTGTCGTCCCCGCTCTTGGGACATTGGGCACATGACTTGTATGGGTCGAATGTTCCTTCACACGCGCGGCACACTGTCGTCGCACATGGATCGGCGCATTTCTCTTTTCTTTGAAACGATACAACATTGTTCTCTTTCGATTCATTTATGTTCAGGTTCGTTCATGTCAGGTTTTTTGTTTGGGGGGAGGGTGATTAAAAATATTTTGGGGGTAATTCTTACACTATATAAATGAGGGATCAATATGTTCTGAAGTCATTGCAGATTAAGCGTTCATTCTGTAGAGGAAACCCTAATTTTGGTTTATTTTCACCCATGTGATTGTTATCGGATACAAGCCCTTTATATCCCGTTAATAACTTTGCTAACAGAGCATAAATATTTAAAAAAGGCAATTTTGTTAATGTGCGCTTGTTGTATATAGGCGGTTGATTTACGTTATTTTGACGTTTCGGTAAGCGTTCTTTTATTTTGGTAAGCGGTCTTAAATAAGCACTTTTTTGAGTTTAAGGGTCTAACCTGGCATGTTTTCTCATTTTTCTCCAGACAATTTGAGAGAAAAATGAAAATTTTGTAATATAGCCTTTTCGACATAGTTTTTTGAAGCATTTTTTTTTCGACTAAGTGGGTTTTGTTTTTTCGGCTAGTTCGCCATGCTTCGTTTGCGTTGTATCGCAAGTGATGGGAAAAAAAAGCGGTTACAAATCGTTCGACTAGAATTATCACTGTACAAGTTAGCAAAGTTTTCAAAAAATTGTCAATTTTATTTTCCCCGTAAATATTAAGTTGGTGGAGGAGACCAGTGTTGTGTTCATCAATTTTGGTTTTGGTGCAGCTACCTGTGTGTTTGACGTTTAGCTGAGCACAGCGCTCGCGGGTTTTCCTCGCAAAATTTTTGCGTGCACTCCGGAGCACATTTTTCGTCGGGGGCACGCTTCGAGTAAGTGAACGCTTCTTGGTTAGGTCGTCCAATTCTGTCGTCTTCCAAGGGCAAACCATCCATCATCATCCCTGGGCTCTTATTTGATTCAGAACTACTCCCACTGACAGTCATGCTGTTTTTATCTTTCAGCATTTTCAGCTTTTCTTCTGAAATAAGTAACCTCTGTTAGTGCCTATCGTTTTACAGGGTATTGAAACGGGGTACCAGAACTTCGTCGCATAAACAACTTTGCATAAAGAAATTTCGCATGTGTAAGTCTGGAATAAATAAGCGCCAGTGGTCTAGTGGTGAAATGGGTGCTCGAATCTGGAGTCACCAGAAGCTCTGTCGTTAAGCTTTATTTCCGTGCTTGAGTTTTTTAAATATATTTTACGAATGTGAAGAGCTCATCTTGTCCTTTTTTCGCTTGTTTGACGAGTGATTCGCCTTTTTGTTTTAAGCATTCCGAAGCACTGAAAAACGCATGCGGCTCAGAACATTTGGGAAATATCAGCAAGTAAGTGACCCTTCGCAATCCGTTCATTTCGTCAAATAAGACCGTTAATCCTCAAAACTGCTCTTTCGTACAGTTGAACTACTTTCAATAAAGTTCGTTTCGACGAAACTTTTCTGGCGGCAATCTGGTCGAATGTCTCACAGATCATAGCCAATAGTTGCAGGTTCTTCTTTATCTCGTCGCGCAATCCAAATAGTCACTATAACTTTTATTTCCGTCATTTTTTTGCTCGATTAGTCAATGCTTGGTATTTTCTAAATGGTCGAAACAACAAAAGCATGCGAACCAGAATTGGACTGAGTAATTCAAACAATTATTTTTTAGAACTATTTAAATTGCCGATGATATCAATGAAGAAATCAACAAAAAATAAGTAAGCGACTCTAAGAAGATCCAATAGTTTCAATGTCGTTTTTGTGTCATCGCTAAAATTATTATTTATGTATCAATTGTTAACGAATTGGTGCTAGATAATTTCATAAATACAGATTTCAAACGTTCGAGGTTTCAAGAGAATATTTCAGAATTTTTCAATTGGCGGAAAGTTATCAGATGAAGTCTATGGCAATTTGTAAATCAACCAAACAAAGCAAAGTTGGTCTTTAGCAAACGACAGATATGAGTTCAATATTCGAAAAAAGAACTACTTTTTTTTCACTGAATAAACTCCGTTCCCAAGGGTCAAACCCACACCAGACAGATCTCGAGCTTTAAAGGTAACAAGCAGCAGCCTCTATGAGCGAAGTATGGCGGGATGGAAAAAAACTTGCTGCTTGCGATGAGAAAAACTGGACGTTTTTGACTCCTAACCATAAAAATTGTCATCTTAGCAAATACGAAATGCTTATGCCCCAAGCCTGAAATAAAAAAAATTATAAATTAGGTCGAGGTATACAATAATATGTCTGTTCCATATGGTTCCAGAGCTGATCCGATCAAACTTAACCCCAAATTTTGTGAAATTTTTTTAATCGAAAAATAATGGCTTGAGCCTAAACAGAAATTCGAGTTATTTTTGTGGTGGAAGGAAAACAAGTAAGCAGTATGATACATCTATAGGTCAATTTCAAAACGTGTGTCCAAAAACAATTTAAAATCAAAGGATGAACTTTTAATCTTGGGCTACCCCATCGACGAATCTTGTCGCAAAGTGCGGCACGATGAAAAATTTCGAGGTTACTGAGAACCTGAATGCACACTATGGGTTTTATCTCTTTGCAGATTGCTTCAGCATGCTAAAACTCCTTAGTTTTTTTTGTGTACAAAATTTTGTTTTGTGTAAACTGAATCGTCTGCTGAAAAAATAAAACGATGATGGATAACATGACCTATCGTGTCTGAAAAGTGCGGGGAGATTTTTAGGCATTCAAACTTGAATGCTCATTAACAGCAAAGTTTCGCCTTCATTCACATCCTTTCTGTTTTAGTGCTATGCACCTCCACAGGACAGATCAAGAGCGATCAGAAGTTTGGACTTTTTTCCAATGGGCTGTTGGTAAGCAGCTCCTGTGAAGTTTAACGGAAGTTTGCTCTGTCCCTTATTGGAATACGCACAGGCTCTGTTTGGTGGCCAAGCCGGAAGATCGAAAACTGACAAAATAAGAGATTTCATTAATACTGCTATTATTTTCAACCGCTCGCCTATGAAGTTCAGGGCGCCGCCAGCCTTGAAATTGTTTTAATCTAGGGTATGTAGAAATCATAAACAGAGAATCTCCCTCGCAAAACAGGTTGCGAATAATGCCTGTTTACAAGGCACTATTAAGGATAAAACTACTTTCGAAGGGAACGCAAAGAGCCAATGGAACGTAAACGCAGCCTAGTTCAAGTATCTGATAGGTCCATAGCAATATATCAGGTAAATATTTTTGAGCGGATTTGACCGGAATCCCAACCTAGTTGAGCAATCGATATGTCCTGTTCTGTTTTTTCTGGTTCTTCCCCATCGCAGTGCTCACAGATAAGATCTGGTGATATCCGGAGTCTGAATTTTGTGATCAATCTAGTTGATTGGATTCGCAACCATCTCGACTCCCTTTACGTTCCTTCAGGTTATAGTTTTCTTTAAACTTCTAAATTATGATGGGGTTGTTTTGACTGAGTGAAACGATGATTTGCCTTTTTAATTTACCTTTAGAATACAAAACGAAACATGAGTATAGGTAAAAAGTAGTTAACTTCGTCTTTGCTAGATCTGAATTGTTATATGGTGTAACTGTTTTTTAATGACATCGATACAAATGGTACGGAATTTAAAAACCGATTTGTGCTTCTCACAATTAAATGACCTTGTAAGATATATTATCTTTGCATAGGATTTAATTACCGAGGAAATCAAGGGTTTTTGACTTGGCGAAATGATGAAAGACTAGTGTAGTAATTACGGTCTCCGTGATAATTTCTGGCCTGCGGTTCGAAGAAAGTTTCATGGGGACGTAGGCAAGTTTTCGGGTTCACAAATCAAAACAATGTTCTTAAAAGGTCTTGAAGTTTTCGATGAGAACCGATTTTTATCGGAAAGTATACGGAAAGGAAAATTCAAAAATCAGTAAATTTATATTTTTTTCCGTCAAAACAAAAATATTCTACATCTGAAAATTTGAAATGAATGTCAATCACTACTAAATTGGTTATTTATGCAGAAATAGAAAAAAAGCATCAATCAAATCTGATTGTTCGGTTGGGTGCTTGGTATTGTTTCAATTGGCATTGTTTCCAGGTCTGTGTTTCAGCAGGTAGGAACTGCACAGTTGAACAGTAAGTGTCCCTGAAATTCAAAACGCTTTTCTGAGAAAATAAAACCTCTGTTTTTTGGAAAACGTTTTTTTAAATCAGCGTAAGTATTGAGGAGTAGCGTGAGAAAAAAAACAGCGCTAGAATTTTAAAAAAGGTAGTGTCTGGTGCATTGGGAGATTTAAAAGTAGAACTAGGCATTTTGTTATCTCTCCAATACATCAGAAAATCAGCTTAAGGAAAAAAAGTTTATCAGATGAATTATTAGAATATTTTTTGAATGCAGTTGTGCAGCGTGGCGTGGATTGGCTTAAACACGTTGGATTCCCTCTTAACGACTTTCTGGTGTTAATGAACAAAATGAACATTTAGTAAGATACAAAATGAACATTTAGTAAGATAGAACATGTTTGACTTTTTCTCTGGATTCTTAAACATTTTTTTTTAATCTACAAATGATTTAAGTTGAAAAGTGTTTTTTTTTTGTCGCGTACCTTGTAATCATTCGATCTTCGCACGGAGAGGTTTCCTTTACGAAAGCATCGTCCGAAATCCTTGATGCATTTGTCGTCCCCGCTCTTGGGACATTGGGCACATGACTTGTATGGGTCGAATGTTCCTTCACACGCGCGGCACACTGTCGTCGCACATGGATCGGCGCATTTCTCTTTTCTTTGAAACGATACAACATTGTTCTCTTTCGATTCATTTATGTTCAGGTTCGTTCATGTCAGGTTTTTTGTTTGGGGGGAGGGTGATTAAAAATATTTTGGGGGTAATTCTTACACTATATAAATGAGGGATCAATATGTTCTGAAGTCATTGCAGATTAAGCGTTCATTCTGTAGAGGAAACCCTAATTTTGGTTTATTTTCACCCATGTGATTGTTATCGGATACAAGCCCTTTATATCCCGTTAATAACTTTGCTAACAGAGCATAAATATTTAAAAAAGGCAATTTTGTTAATGTGCGCTTGTTGTATATAGGCGGTTGATTTACGTTATTTTGACGTTTCGGTAAGCGTTCTTTTATTTTGGTAAGCGGTCTTAAATAAGCACTTTTTTGAGTTTAAGGGTCTAACCTGGCATGTTTTCTCATTTTTTTCCAGACAATTTGAGAGAAAAATGAAAATTTTGTAATATAGCCTTTTCGACATAGTTTTTTGAAGTATTTTTTTCGACTAAGTGGGTTTTGTTTTTTCGGCTAGTTCGCCATGCTTCGTTTGCGTTGTATCGCAAGTGATGGGAAAAAAAAGCGGTTACAAATCGTTCGACTAGAATTATCACTGTACAAGTTAGCAAAGTTTTCAAAAAATTGTCAATTTTATTTTCCCCGTAAATATTAAGTTGGTGGAGGAGACCAGTGTTGTGTTCATCAATTTTGGTTTTGGTGCAGCTACCTGTGTGTTTGACGTTTAGCTGAGCACAGCGCTCGCGGGTTTTCCTCGCAAAATTTTTGCGTGCACTCCGGAGCACATTTTTCGTCGGGGGCACGCTTCGAGTGAGTGAACGCTTCTTGGTTAGGTCGTCCAATTCTGTCGTCTTCCAAGGGCAAACCATCCATCATCATCCCTGGGCTCTTATTTGATTCAGAACTACTCCCACTGACAGTCATGCTGTTTTTATCTTTCAGCATTTTCAGCTTTTCTTCTGAAATAAGTAACCTCTGTTAGTGCCTATCGTTTTACAGGGTATTGAAACGGGGTACCAGAACTTCGTCGCATAAACAACTTTGCATAAAGAAATTTCGCATGTGTAAGTCTGGAATAAATAAGCGCCAGTGGTCTAGTGGTGAAATGGGTGCTCGAATCTGGAGTCACCAGAAGCTCTGTCGTTAAGCTTTGTTTCCGTGCTTGAGTTTTTTAAATATATTTTACGAATGTGAAGAGCTCATCTTGTCCTTTTTTCGCTTGTTTGACGAGTGATTCGCCTTTTTGTTTTAAGCATTCCGAAGCACTGAAAAACGCATGCGGCTCAGAACATTTGGGAAATATCAGCATTTTAGGGTTGTAGCAGAGCTCCAAAAACGCAAATGGACTTGAAAAAAAACCCAAAATATTACACACTTTTTGAGTAGTTTCAGAAAATTCAATTTATAAAACTGCATATTTAGTGAGGTAGCTTACAGTTTTTCCAGTGTTCGTTAAAAATTCGCATTTCCTTTTCAAGTCGCTAAAATCTGATTTTCTCTGGCTCAAAGATTCTTTCCATCTAACATGGCGTTGGATAAACTCTTTTGAGTGCTCTCCTTGCATTGTGAGATGAAAATTGTCCTGCTATTGACAATACTGGGACGCAAATCTTTAATCCAGACAGCTTGATACTTAATTGCAAAAGGCTATGGTTGAGCCAATTTTACAGTCCCAATCGGTGCGATTTTCACTCCATTTACTCCAAACACAGCCCAGTGTGTATTTTCAATATTTTAGAAGTTATAGCCATTTTAGTATTGAAAAAAGCCACACAAGAGGGCAGCAAAACTATCAAAATATTGATGAATTTTTAAAATAAAATATCTCTTATTTAACCACCTTTCTTTTCTCAATTAAAGGACGGAATATTGGTTGAAAGTATGCTAACCTGTAGTTAGCTTCACAGGTGTATCTTTCTCTTGGAAAACATCAGGCGACTTGCGCTTCTCAACTTGGTTGATTGTAGTTGCCTTTCTCTTCATTGACCCGCTCTGCTGTGTTTGCTTCTGAGCTATCGGCAGTTTTCTGTCAGTTTCAATGTATTCTATCACCAAGTTGTTTTTGTAGTCATATGCCTTGCTGTCATCCTCATTTTTTGGCTCATTTTCACTGTTTCCTGTTACCTTTTTTTCGGATGGCTGCTCCCGCTCTCTTTCTGGGCTACCGTTGTGCGACTGTCTAAGTGAGACTAGCCGGCTACAAACACCGTAGACAGCGGCTTGGCTCGTCATGGCACACTCCAGGCCTTCTCCACAGTTGCCGAACTTGTTATAATCTCCCCCGCAGAATTCTCCCTCTCCTCTTCCGCACATTATACAGCAGTTGCATCTATCCAGAACTTGACTGAAAAGCAAACAGCAGCACTTCATATCAAACATGTAAATTCAACTTGAATATAGACACAGAAAACTCACTCGCAATTAAGAGGCAGATTTTTGAGATTATGTGGAAATTAAGACGAATGTTTCATTGCATAAATGGATCTTCTTAATGAAATAGGGATGCAATAAAATGAATCATATCAGCACATATAATATTAATCATAATAGAAAAAGTTTTAAAAAGTCAAAAAGACTTGCGCAACTAAAAAAAAATAACATGGCCTAATAGTTAGTAGTGCAAAACGCATCTTTTCGCAGCGTCAGCTTAGTTTATTGTTACGAACCTTTTTTTCTAATCTAACTAGCAAATAAAAGTGTTCATTAAAAGTGTTCACTTATTTGGAAATTTCACTGTAGCATTGGAAATCGCAAAGAATCTGTCCTCTGCTTTATTTTTAACTAGTGTTCGGCTATTATCTATTAAGCTTCCGTGGCTGAGTGGTTAGGGTGTGAGACTCCTAATCTCTAGGTCGCAGGTTCGAATCTCAGTTGTAACCGAATTTTCGCCAATTTGAGGCTTATTTCTTATTGCACTTTAGAGCTGCTTTTTTGTAGTGTTCTGGCTAATAATTGCGAAGCGAAGCTTCGCCTATGCGTGAATACTTAATTATTATTCATTTAATTTTCCAGGCTAATTTTGAGCGCATTTTCAAACTATGTTAAATGGTTGTTTCCTTTTTAATTTGCGCCAATTTTTAAGTGATTGGAGCACAATGGCTGTCGTTATTTTTTGTGCCTTTGGGCAAATAATTGATTGCTGAAACGTCTGCTAAAATCGTAGCTTTTTGTCAGAAATTTTTCAGCGTTTACTTTTTCTACAACTCGCTTTTTTCTACAAATTGAAGATGAGTTAACCAAAAAATTCACTGTGAACGCTAAGGTAGAGGGTTCTGTGAACTTAGAGAACCAGTTATACAGATAATTCATTCCAAGTTTGACCAAAAAATGATATGTGAAGATAAAGTTTGACTTCTAGTTGTATATAATTTTTGCCACATTACACGAGAGAGCTTGAGAGCGTAATATTATGGGCCCACTCTGCTTTTTTTCAACCAACTTTAGTACAAAATTTATCAAAGTATTAGTTTTTAAAGGTCGTTTTATACCATTTTGAACATATCGACACCCTGCTCTGAAATATAAAATGTCGCTTAACATCCGAAAGCTTTTTGCAAAGTTTTTGATGTTTTGGAAGTTTTTGCACGTATTTATAGTGCTCAACGCGTAAGAGCGGCTTTTTTTAGCGCAGCAAGTTAATCCAGTTTCTAAAGCTCATAAATAATCTTTCTACATTAAATTAAGCTCTCCATATTAATAATACTCAATAATTATGTGTCAACGCTGGTAGTGAAGACACTTAGAGTTCGTGTTGATTCACTAACGTGCGTCTTTTTTATGTGATTTTTTGTTTTGGTTCAGCTATCTTACCGTTGCGAATTAGTTTCATTTTTAACATGATTAATGTTATTGGGGTAATCTCATATGCTTTAAGAGTTTTCTATGTTTTTTTGCAATTTTTTTTGCAGTATTTCTTGAAGTTTTTGTATTCAAGTTTTCGAAATTATTTTTTTTTCGTTCATGTTGATTTTTGTTTTAGCAAACAATTGAAAAAGGTTTTTGATACATTTTGATGTTCTTGATGAACATGCAGTTTGTTTGTTTCCAAGAATTTCAGCGAAGTTTAATGGTGAGTTTAGGAATTTTGGGATCATGATTTTTGGACCGAAAATTTGTTGAATTTTTGGTTAGAATCGAGTTTTCCCCATCTTGAAGGAGCAATAAAAGGCTTTTCTATGATTTGGTAATACTTATCCGACTTTCTTTGTCTTGGCTTGCGAGTAGAAGCTAATAAATATCTTTCAGTCTTCAAGACACTGCCGTGATCAAGGCAAGTTAAAAACTTTTCCTGGAAGATATAAATTTTTTAATGTGTAATAAAATATACCTATTTTCTGGCTCGGCGCTCAAAAGAACTCAACTTCATCATGCCGATTTGAGTTCTTAGACTGTATCAGTTGTCTAAAAGTATGTAATGTGTTATTTTTTTTGCGTACCCGTTGGGGCAGTTTGAGGGCGGCGCCCCACACGTGTCAGGGTTGCATTTGACACAGTTGAGTGTCCGTCCCAGACTGGCACTGCTTCTCACTGGCTGGATGCGACTGGATAATGCCAGAGTGATCGCAAATATCACTAAATATCGGTTCAACTGGGTCACCATCTTTGCAGCTGATGCTCGATTAAATTGATGTCCAAACTAAGATTCTCAGTCAATTAGAAGCAATTCTAGTATTTTGAACTGTTAGTCTAGCTAATTCTAGTATGCTGGTTTAAGAAGAGAGCATAATTGAAATGAAAGGCGAGTAGTTATTATAAGGGAAAGAAAGATAAGATTTATTGCAGAGTTTGGTGTTAATTGAAGTTGGATTTGGCCAGTGAAATTGTGAGATCATAAACGTAGGGATCAATTTAAGCTGTCAAGTTATTCTCCCAGTTGTAAAAGCAGGAATAAATTGATCTAGGAGAACGTCTCTCCCAATATTTGCTCATTCTCTTTCATTGATGGTCTTGTTTTCCGTCGCTGCCTGTCTTTTCACAGTGGATATCTTGCCAAGTTTCCTTCTGTAATTCTCCTGTTTCTTGTTTGAAAGAAATGTACCTCTCCTCAATAAATCTATTGGGTCGAGCAGAATCTGAAATTTTCAAGTTTTTCCTGAGAATTAATATCCCCTGGCAAAGTAATCAATACTGTTTTCCTAGAATTATTTTCTGCGTTGTCAGATCAGTTAAGGGTTATTACTTTTACTTGTTCCCTATTTTGGAGACTTCAAACTGGGTCTGGTAAATTTAGCCAATTGAACGACCAACCACTGGCTTTGGACAGGCAGTGCAAAGCAGAATACTAAATAATTCTCCTTCGATCTCAGGTTGATTGCTCTCCTCGAAATATGGGGTGAATTTAGCAGCACAACTCAGTTGTTTTTGGTGTTTGGTTGGGTATGTATGCAGATTGGTGAGTCCCTTCGGTACTTCACTCTTTTTAGCTTTCACAATCTTGATGCCCATAATTCAATCTTTTAACCTGCAAATGATGGCCTCTTAGTCTAATGAATTTTGGTCAAAGCTGGGATTTCAATCATTTAGTTCGCTAATCTACATGAGCCTTTCTAATCAACCTGCCCTGTTATTGCCCCAATTTTCTCTGAAAAATATCCGAATTCTCAATCAAAATTTGTTAGATATAATACTACGCAGTTTTGAAAATCCTATCATATTTGAACGAAATCGCAAATGAAGTCGGCCATTAAGGTTTAACCGTAAAAAGAAAAGGTCTTTTGTGGGAATGAAGAACACTGTAGGAAGCCAGAGGTCGCAACTAACTGATTAATCCTAAAATAGACAGGTGTGGTTGGTTTTAAATTAGGACAACACTTGTTCATGTCTATCTCCCGTTGCTATTGGAAAAGACAGCATGCCTTCTTTAATAACAGTGCGAACAGCTTTATGTGATTCTCTAATTGGCTTGTGTCTTTTCAGATTATTCAATGACTTGGCACTGTTCGTTTCGCAATGATTATGTCGGAGTGGGTTGCGATTTATAGCCTCGGGATCAGCAGAAGTGCGGATCTGTTTGATTGAGCCAGCGGGCGGACTTATTTGGAATGAGTTTTATGAAAAGTGCGGCTAGTCTGGAAGGACACTTGGACAGGGTGTGGCATGTTGCGTGGGAGCCAAACCAGGGTAGATACTTCACATCATCCTCGGCAGATAAAACTATCCGACTGTGGAAGTACAACGCCGACTCTAACTCGTGCTCGGCTATCTGTGTGTTGCAGGATGCACACAATAGGACAGTGCGAAGCACAGCATGGGCACCAGGCTCAACTAAATTAGGTTAATATCACACACATCGTATGCTCAATTAATGTAAATCAGTTTCAGTTACCGTGGAAATCTTGCATTTAACGACCAAAATACAAAGATTTATCGTGCATTTTTGTTGTCATTGATACAAAAAATAAAATATAATAATTTCAAAATGAATTGAACCAAACGCGCTTCGCTTGTAGATTTTTAGAGACAGTCTCGAAACTTGCTTTGTTGAACTTTCTGAGCAATCGAGCGGAGCTATTTACTCATTTATTTGCGGATTTCGGAAATGATTGCAAGTTTTAGATTCACCAGTAATCCAATTGAACAATCAATAAAGCTATTTCTCGGCTATAAAAACGTGTGTACAGTTGTTTATCTTTGCTTTTATATAATTTTGAACGTTCCGTTGACTTTATTTAAGTACCTAAGAAATATTCTTTTTTAAGTGTAAATGAATAAAGTGTAGACACTTACTTATTTAGGTCGTGTTCAAGAAAAATTAAGAAAAATTGAAGAAAGTCTCAAGTTGATTTTTCGTGGGTTTGAGTAAAGATTTCTTTCAAAGGAAAGCAAAACTACGCTCTTCAATAACAAAACTTCAAAGTGTGCTAAAAACGTAAATGATTTTTTGTTTCGAAAGTGAATTTGATTTTTGCCTGTGATATAATATTTAGTTTGAAAAGAAAAAGGGTTTTTCTCTGTGTTGCTCGTTCAGGTGATGAAAAGAAAAAGGGTTTTTCTTTGTGTTGCTCGTTCAGGTGAGTTTTAAAAGGTGTTAGCTCAAAATTTTTCATGACAATAATTTTGTTTTCGGATCAACTGGCGTCCTAAAATATTGTTGGCTTAAATACCGCTTCAAAAGTCTGAAAATTTGATCACTCTCAAGTTTGATTTTTCGTGGGTTTGAGTTAAGATTTCTTTCATGTGCTATTCATTTTCATTTGCTGAAAGGAAAGCAAAACTACGCTCTCCAATAACAAACATAAAAGTGCGCCAACAACGTGAATGATTTTTTGTTTCGAAAGTGAATCTTGATTTTGAGATCTCTGTGGAACGAAAAATTACCTACTGATTCACTTTTCAAAAGCATTTAGTTTAGTTTGAATTTGGAAGAGCTTTCACTAGATGTTTTTTTTCACCGATATGCGAAAAAGATTTTTCAAAGAGTTCTTTTAAGAGATTTTTGCGACATGTGATCAGCAATTTTGCTTGTAAAGAGATTTTTATTGAGATATTAATCGAATTCGGCCTTACAACTGTGCGAGTCTGGCGCTTACAAAATGCTTCAAGAACTAATCATGAACTTCTCAATCATCGTATGAAGCAATTTAGTTTCGACAGAAATTAAAGTGTTCTTCTCTGTAACCAAAAGCTAGCTACTCAATTGAATATTGTGCTTTCAATCCGTCTAGAAAGTGAAAATTCCAACCGGCTTCCCTCGAGATCTAGAAAACGTACTTGGATTTTCTGCCATTTGAAAAACTTATTTGTTACTTTTTTTTGTAATCTATCAACTTAACATAATAATTGGATCATTTTGAATTGTTACTTTGTCGTTTACATTTAACTTCCACGTATTCTTCGGCACACTTAGCCAAACGGAAACGTCTAGGCCTAGGAGGACAAAGGTTCTGAGTTCGAATCTAGCCACGAATTGTTCCTTTTTGCAAACTTCAAAAAGTTTTCGTTGAAAAAGTTTTCCGTTTTTCTGCCAACTTTTTTCGGCATAGGTGCCACCGCGCGGACTTTTTTAAAAGTTATTTCATCAGTTTTATTTAAAACTGATTTTGATATTTTCCTGGAATTTGTGAATTTACCAATCCTGATCTTGGATAATTTACTTTTTGGCTTGAAAGGTATGCAAAAAATGGCTTAAAATTCGGCTTAAATGTTTTCGGCTGGTGTTATTTTTGCCTGTAATTTAATATATCGTTATATATATAAGGAGCAACACAAAAGAAATAGGGTTTTTCTTTGTGTTGCTCCTTCAGAGGAGTTTTAAAAGGTGTTAGCTCAAAATTTTTTATGACAATAATTTTGTTTTCGGATCAACTGGCTTCCACAAATATTGTTGGCTTAAATACCGCTTCCTTGTTCTCTCTGAGACATAATTTAATGCTGTCGATTGAAATATTCGAATGTTTTCTCAAATTCAACTGCGTTCGAGAGAAGCTTATAAAGTTTTTCTTGGTGTAATTTCTCCCCAATTGCACCCCAACTGGTAAAGGCCATGGGCAATGGTTTTGACTATCAAGTCATTAATTAGAACTAATCAAACGAATTATAAGTATTCCACCAGGAATTCGTCAACCATTCCGAGGTATCAGTGGAGGTCTTGACGCTAATTTCTACACTATTTCGCCTATTGTATTTACGCACTGAGACAGCGCCAATATGATTTGGCGGCTCGGGCATTAGCCTTGCTGTGACCCACGAATATCGGTGCTTCACATAGCGATAATTCATTGATTTTTATTAGTGCACCCATAACAGCAGACTGGACATCGTAGCACCTCTCACCTGTGCTAGTGCCTTGGTTTGATGCAAAGGATTCTTGACTCAGTTGGGGTGCCAAGATAGTCGCTTCTGATGCGCTGATCAGTTTCATAGGCGGGTGGCAGTTTTGCATGTGTTTAGTCCATCCACCGACAGAGATATATGTCTTATTAAAGTCCGGTAGGGAGCAATCAAATGCAGTTCTCCTGTCCCCCGTTGCTGGGCTGCTGGGGGATCTCTGCTCTTCTTTCATTTTCTTTTTCACGTAATTGAGGATTTTTTTTCTGGTGTGAGCCAGATATCAGTGAAAATCTCTGTAAGAGGCTTGAGAATTTTCTTCTTCAGCAACTTAAGAAGATCACTGGTTATCTGACACTCGCCAGGAGCTGTGCCCGCGTTGATTTCTCTCAAGGCTAGCAGTACTTCTGTTCCTTTAGGACGCCTAATATCCACAGTTGGAAGTAACCTTTCAAAAAACTCTTCTCCCTCCGGTCTTTTGATAAACAGATCCTTTGTTTTTGAAACTCCAATTACTCACTTCAACTTTGCTCATCCTCTCTAGGCGACGCAAAGGAACACTTAGAAAAATCTTTTTCAACACCGTATTGGCTTCGCTTGTCTTAAAGTCCTTAGAGGTTGCTCTCTCAATCTCGTTTTGGGCATACTTCCTCACTTTGTTGCACTTTAACTCTAGCTGTTTCCTTTTTTGCAACCAACTCGTCGGTGCAGTTGCTTAGAACCTGACTGTGAACACATCTTTTGTATTTAAAAACTAAAGGTTTTTCGGTAGTCAAGTACTCAGAGAGCGTACTTTCTTTTTCTTCAGGTTCGGGATCCTGTGACCTGACATGGAAATTGCACATTAACTCCATAAGACTGCTGTTGAAGCTCTGTATAGAATCAGTGTGGGACAGGTCACTGATTATTTGTCTCTAGCCTTGTGTTGCCCACTGAAGGAAGTTTCAAAACGTTTAAGCTCGAAGTTTTTCATGGCAATGATTTTCTTTCCGGATCAAGTGGTGTCCACAAATACTGCTGGCTTATTTACCGCTCCCTTGTTTTTTCTGAGCTAATTTAACGTTGTCGATTGAATTTCTTGAAAGTTTTCTCAAATTCAACTTTATTCGAGAAAAGCTTAATATTTTGGCGGCTCGGGCATTAGCCTTGCTTTTACCCACGAATATCGGTGCTTCGCTTAGCGATTGATCGTTCATTTTTAATAGAGCACCGATAAGAGCAGAAGGGACATCGTAGCACCTCATACCTGTGCTAGTGTCTTGGTGCGATGCGTAGGTTCGCTGATTCAAATGGAGTGCTGAGACTATCACTTCTGTTGCGTTGCTAAGTTTCATATGCGGTTGGCAATTTTGCATGTGGTTAGTCCATCCCTTGACAGAAACATATGTCTGATTACAGATTGTTCAGGGGCAATCAAAAACGCTTCTCTTGGACAACACCTGCCGGTGCTGGGCTGCTAGGAGATATCTGCGTTTTTTCAATTCGTTTCATTTAATTCCTTTATCATTTTCTCGTAATTGAGAAGCATAATTGAGGAATACTTTCTGGTCTGAGCCAGATATCAATTAAAAGAGGCTGGAGAATTTTTCGAGCAACTTGAGAAAAATCTCTGGTTATCGGACTCTCACCACGAGCCTTGCCCGCGGTAATTTCTCTCAAGGCTAGTAGTACTTCTGCCCTTTAGGAGGTCCACTATCCGCAGTTGGAAGTGATCTTTAACAAACTTTTCTCCCGTCGGTCTTCGTAAACAGATTCTCATACTGCATTTGAAACTTGCAATTACTGGATTCATTTTTTCTCCTCATCTCCAGCTTACGCAAAACGAACACTCCGAAATGTCTCTTTCATTACCGGATATGCGTGGCGCTTTTATCCGAGGACGTGCTTGTCTTGAACTCCTTCCAGGCTGCTCTCTATCTAATTTTGGGCTTACTTCCTCAATTGTTGCACTTTTTTTTAGTTCTTCCTTTTGCAAACAACTCGTCAACAGTGTTGTTTAGAGCTTGACGGTGTACACTTCTTCTTTCTATAAAAACGTTTTTTTTTCGGTAGTTAAGTACTCAAAGCATGTACCTTCTTTTTTTTTCAGGTCGTGGATCCGGTAACCTGGAATGGAATTTGCACACTAACTCCTTAAGAGTGCTGTTGCAGCTCTCTATAGAGTCAGTGTGTGACATATTACTGATTATCTGCTCTCGCCTTGTGTTGCTCCTTGGGAGTTTCAAAACGTATTATCTCAGTTTTTCATGACAATATTTTTTTTTCGTTTTTAGTTGGATCCATTGGCGTCTACACAAATATTTCTGGCTTAATTCCCGCTTCATTATGTTTTCTTAGAGCTTATTTAATGCTGGAGATTGAGGTTCTCGAATGTTTTCTCAAATTGAACATTATTCGAGCCAAACATGTGACATTATTGTTGATGTAGTTTTTCGATACAGGCAGCCCCGTTATGCCTGTGTCAAGTATCGATTGAATCGCGAGTGAGAGTGGCTTTTTTTCTCTGC